GTTATCCTGGTGGGTTACCATGGAAATAGGTACTTTGAGGGTATTATGAGCAGGTCCCAAGACAAGAATATGCTCATGCTATGTGAGAAGACAAATAAAATGGTAAGCCTGCAGAGCTCTAGAGCTGTTTCTTCCTTCAGGAAGCAGGACTGGTTGACAGGTCGCAGACTGGTTTCTTGTACAAAACTGACTTCTGTTTTCATTTCTGTTATGGGAGAGTCGGGGGAATGGGGAGGAGAGTGAGGCATAATGCCGAGGCTTGACTCCAGAGCCACAGGCTACCAGTTAGACATAACCAAATATGTATTGAAAAATGAAGGCTCAGAGATTGCCTTCTGCCCATCTCTGGATGTGCCAGGCATCTGGGCATCTCTCTGGATCCATGCACCACTTGAGGCCTGGTGGGTTTCTGGCCAAGTATTGCTGTCTGTGGCCTCAAGTCCAAGTTCTGGTCAATGTAATCTAAGCAGAGAATCAACTCACAGCTGCCAGGATCCTTTCTTAAGTTGTGACTCACTTCCCTCTCTTCTTCCTGCTATGTGATGTTCAGGCATCATTACCATGGATTACGGGGTTGAGGCCAACACAATAGAGGGAACAATAAGACAGGGAAATGTTTGGATATTCAAGGATCTCTCAGAAGCAGAGATACCCACAGGCCTTAGGAAGGTTATTTCTAGATTTGCCTTATGTAAGAAAAAATATATAACAAGCATTTCTCATGGTTGAGCCTCTGTGAAGATTTTTACATGCCTTGCAGCCTTTGATGTTTTTGCTCTTTGGAGATGTGAGCTTTGGAGCTTGCAGGTCACATAGCAAAGTCACTAAGCAAAGCTGGGAGAAAGGCAAGTACATATATCTCTTGGAGGATGATGGGGTGTTCTAAGTTCAAATCCTGGTAGGTCATTTTCTGACTACATGGGCTCAGGCGAACACCCTCAATTACAACCTTGGTTAACTGATGTTACCCTGTGAAGGGTTCAGCAGTATGTATTCTAAATAGTTGCTGAGAAGTTTAGTCTATGTTATCAAGGTAGAAAATCACTTCACAGCTTCCAGAGAATGTGTGATTTCTTGGCTCAATGCCCTCAAACAATGTGCAATGTGCTTATCTTTTCAAGTTTAGCTACATAGGCAGGTCTTTCTCGATCAGTCCAAGTCTACAGCTCATCTTTTAGCTCCAGCATGGGAGCTTGCTTATTTTAAAGTTATGTGTGGCTTTTCTGGTGTTAAATTCCATTGACATCCAGATGTTGACCTTTCACAAAAATTCTTCAAGCCAGGTCCTCATCATCTGAGAAGCTCAGGGATTCAGTGGCCACTAACATCTGGTGGTCCCTTTTGTAATGGATGAATGACAGAGGCTGAAGTTGTTTGCTGCATAGTCCCAAATATATTGTGGATTTGAGCTCTACTCTACTGCTTTCTTGCCAGCCTATCTAATTTCTCTTGGGCCCAGTTAATCTTATTTATATATGAGTCTAATAAAATCAGCCCTACAACTAAGCCAGACAAGGTTATAAGATGTCTGGCACACACTACAGAGAGAGAAAGAGAGACTTGTAGCTTTCTGGGTCTTCCAGCTTTATTTGCTGATGCACAGCGCTTGCCTTGATACCATGAGCGGCCAATTTGTAGTCTCAAACATCGAGAGGAGCTGAGCCAGAGTGCAGGCCTAATGTTCTCACCCAGTGGTCCCCGGAAAGTCAATCCCTTCTTTAGGTTTTCATCTCTTCCTCTAGAATGCACATGCTCAGTTGAGTCTGTCAGATCTTAATGTTTCATTTCTATGTGATCATAGCTGTCACATTAGGAATCAGCGGTAAACTGGCTGGCTGGATAGACAGTTGAGTGAATGGATGGTGAAGGAGAGACAGTCCCCACCCCCACTCCTCAGGACAGAAACCCCAGGCTAACACAGTGGCTGTCCAGACCACCATCAAAAACCTCTAGGTCGGGACGGTCTGGGTTTGTGGGGCTTTACCCCCCCCCCCCCGCCTTTGTTTCAACAAGCGGTTCTCTAAAGAACTACATGCATTGGAATACTGTTCTTAAAAAGAATGCTTCCTTGGCTTCAGCAAAGTACAGCCAAAGTGGAAATCCCGGGATGGGCTGTAGGTTTTGTGTGCTTCTGCGGTGATTCTAAAGCACAATGCATTTTGAAGGCAACTATTAGTCCTTGGGTTTGCCAGTCTTTGGGTGACCCAAAACTGTGATTTTTGCTTCCAAGTGTGTGGTGAGAGCCTCGCTTCAGCTCAGCTGACATTTTCGCGATTTGTTCCTGTCCACTAATGTTTTGAAGTCTTGGGGAGAAACGGATTCATAGCCCTTCCAGTTCATTTAGCTCAGTTAACGCAATGCCTAGAATTAGCCAGCAGGGGTCGCTGGAGGTCCACATATTTTGTACCTGCTGGTGCGCCTCCTAGTCTTAAATATCTTTACTACTTTTTCTTTTAAAAGTGGGAGAAAAATCAACCTTTAATACCCATTACCTTAGAAAACTAGAAGGACAAAACCCAAATGTTTCTGGAAAAATGAAATTTCTTGTCTTTTTAATAGAATCAGCCTATTTCTTATCTGCCCTCCCCTCCCCCAGCTTCTGGGGACTTAGGACAGAGGGACACACTTTCTAAATAATGTAGTCACTTCTCCGGGATTCCATTCCTTAGGCACTGGAAGGAGGTAGCTCACAAGTTCATCTTGTTGGATAACACAGCACCGTGCCTGCCTCTGAGGGGGCAGCTACACTGACCCATCATTTACATCCCAGAATGTGTCTGTCTTTTCCAGGCCTGGAGGGATTTGTTAAGCATTCAGTTTTTAATAGAATATTCTAACTATATAAAACTGTATGTTTCTGTGGAAGAAAATATAAGATGTAGGTTTGCAAAAGAGAAGGATGTCAATTCACTGACACAGCTAACATAAATGTTTGATTGCCGACATCTCCTCACTGTGAAACACAGATACAGAGAGCTACATACAGACACCCATGCTGACAAGCACAGACACACATCGATGTGCAGATACACACACACACACACACACACACACACACACACACACGGGGGAGATAAAGAGAGGGAGAGAGACAGGAGAGTGAGAGGACAGAGATACAAATTCATACAGAGACACAGAGATACACACAGAGATACAACACAGCTGTACATTAATATGTCTTCTATCATTGTGCACATTGTGTGAGACACACACACACAACACATATACACACACACACTGCAACATGTGCATCAATACACCTGTTCATATCGTGCACAATGTTTTCTTGCCTGCCCTTTCACAAACAAGCTGTTAAGTGATGGCCATGAACAGGCTTCCCATTCCTCAGTTAAAACAGCTGCAAGGAATTCTCCCTCACGGATGACCCATGTTTTCAATGAATCCATTGGTGAAAAACACAAACACCATGAAGACGTAGGAATGTGTGACTATCTCGAGATGGACATTCTCTGATGCCAGCCTTCCTTTGTGTCCTTATTTACACCATGTCTGTTAGAGTTTTGTAGACACCAGAGTGGTCTGTGACACACACATTATGATTTTGTACAGAGTTTTGGAATGGTATAGATGTATCTGTGTCTGGGCAGGCCTGGACTTTTCTTTTTAAAATCTGAGCTGACTTTGTAAAAATCTTTCTTTTCCTTGAATATATAGAGTTTTATCAATGAAATGGAATATCCACCTTTGAGTTTTTCTCTGCTTCTAACCCAAGATGGAGAAGGTAATACAGCTGGCTACATTGACATGTTGTTTTGCTCTCTTGGTTTCCAAGTTACTATCTAATGTAACCAATAAACAGCTTCCTTGCCCTGGGCAAAGCCCCTTAGAGTGTTCTAGTCTCCTCCAGGATTCCAGTGGGTGTTCAGAGAGGATGGAGGGAGTAGATGGCATATCTGAGACCAAAGAGTCTGGCAGCACAGTTTGGAGACATTAACCTTGGAGAACTCAGGCCTGGAGGGGAACTTACTGGTGGCAGATTGAGGGGAGGAGGGTGAGCGCTGAGTATTGTCCACTGTTTAGCCTCACACATCACTTTGGGACTGCGCTTTGGTTTTTATGCGATTCTATTGCAGCCCATGTTGAGCTGAGTGCAGAGTGCACACTACAAGCTGCCTGCAGAGAACCTTTCCACGCTTGGCACAGAGCTCTTTGAGATTCATGCACTCCCTTGCACATTTCTTCTAGCCTAGTGCTTTTTTTCTCGCTCACTTGGGTCTTCACCCATCCCACTTTTCTTGTGGGATTCTATGGGTCCTTGCAGTTTTTCTACTGTACCTATGTATTTGTTTTTTTTTGAAAACCTACAATAGAGAGTTTAGTGGACTGGGCACTAGTGAATAGCTTGGGTCTCTACCTGTTTCACAGAGGGAGGAACTCGGGCTCACAATGCAGCACCCTGCCCAAGACTGCACAACTAATGAGTGGTGCAGGAGGATCCCCACATATCTGCAGATTTGTGGGCCTGACAGACGAGTCAGCTGTGCTCTGGGGCAGCTGGAGAGGAAGGCTGCAAGAAGCTAATGCATGTTACTGGGTGTTGGTAAAACAGCCATCTGAGATGATTGTGTTTTTTTGAAATCTAGGCTAACGTGCATATCTTGCCTGTAATCCAGAGCTACATCAGAGGTGATGCTCTGGATATCTGAGGCTAGACCACAAGAAGGCTGTAGCTTCTAGCCTGGTTCCTTAACTTGCTGTTCTGTGGGCTTTCCTTCCTGGGATGCACTCTCTTTTAAAACCCTGTCACCAGTGTGTGACAAGCCCGACCCACATCAAGGGCTCTAGCCTTCTATCGGTTGTCCAAGTCCAAGGATCAGCCATTTGTGTGCAGGACCCCCGGCTGTCTGAGTCTTCTTCACTGAGGCCCAGACATCATGACTGTGCAGAGAGTGACAGCCATTGCTCTTTCATAGAATAGAAAGGAAAGCCCAATAGGCCAGCTATGTCATCACTTAAAGGACACAGAACCCATAGCTCACCTTTGGTACTGCTGAGGCGCGGCCATGACCTAGGGCAGAAAAGAGAACAAAAATGAGTGTTAAATTCAGAACAAACTGAATTCAACACTGTTTCCAAAGTAGCAGGCCTCTCAAGATGTATTTCAGCACTCCTTCTGTGGAAACTGTACATGTATGTTCATATCTGTACAGGTGCACAGGTCTGAGTGTCCATGCATATATAGCTGCACAATCATATGGATGTGTGCACATGTTCCTCAGGTGTGGTCCACCTTGACCTTTCAAGACATGGTCTGTCAGTGGACTGGAGCTCACCATGGCTTCTGGGCTGGCCAGTGAACCCCAGGGGTCATATTATTTCCACCTCGCCAGTGCTGGAGTATAAACATGCACTACCACTTCTGGCTTTATATATATA